GCTATCCATTGTTGAAAGTGGAGTACCAAAGTATTCTCTTAGTGTATTGCTATTTCTCTCATTATATTTTAATATTGCTTTATATATTTAGGAACTCCAATGTTGGGTGCATATTTACAATGGTAAATTGTACTGAATTCATGAATTGACTCCTTTGTCATTACATAATAACTTTCTTTGTCTCTTGTTACAGTTTTTGACTAATAACCTATTTTGCCTGAGTTAAGTATAGCTCTCCCAGCACTCTTTTGTTTTCTGTTTGCATGGAATGTATCTTCCCATCACTTCACATTTAGTCTATGTGTGTTACTAAATTTGAAGTGAGTCACTTGCAGGCAATACAGAGTTGTCTTGTTTTTTTAAAAAGAAATTCATTCAATCATTTCGTTTTCTCATTGTAGAAATTTAAAGTAATTATTTTTAGGTAAGAACTTCCTATTTGTCCATTTTTTTTGGCAGTTTTGTAGACTTTTTTTATTCCTTTTTCTCTTTGTAGTCTTTCTTTGTAATCTGATGATTTTCTGAGTAGTGTGCTTTGATTTCATTTTCTTTTTTTTTTTTTTTGTATATCTACTATATGTATTTCATTTGTGATTACCATGAGGCTTATGTAAAATCTATAATTATAATAGTCTATTTTTAGCTGTTAACAACTTACCTTCAATCAAATACAAAAATTTGACACTTTTACTTTTCTGTTTTATCTTTTTGATGTTACAGAGTACACCTTTTTATATTATAGTCCATTCACAAATTAGTGTAGCTATCGGCCTCTTCTGGCCTGTAAGGATTCTGCCAAGAAATATGCTGAAAGACCGCTGGAGTTCCCTTGTATGTTATGAATCCTTTTTCTCTTGCCTTCAAAATTCTTTGTCTTTGATTTTTGACAGTTTAATTATTATGTGTGTGTGATGTCTTCATTGGATTGAGCCTCATTAGAGATCTTTGAGCTTCATATATTTGAATGCCATTTTGCTCCCTAGATTTGGGAAGTTTTCAGCCATTATTTCTTTAAATAAGCCTATTCCACTCTCTCTTTCTTCTCCATCTAGGATTCCTATAATGTGAAAATTAGTTATCTTAGTGGTGTCCCATAAATCCTATAGGTTTTCTTTATTACTTTTTATTCTTTTTCCTCTGACCAGATACTTTTAAATGACTCCTCTTCAAGTTTATGGACTCTTTCTTCGGCTTGATTAAGTCTACTCTTGATGCTTTCTCTTGCATTTTTTATTTCATTCATTGTTTTCTTCACCTTCAGAATTTGTTTTTATTAATGATTTATATATCTTTATTGAACTTCTCACTTTTTCATGCATTGTTTTTCTGATTTCATTAACTTGTCTATCTGTGTTCTCTTATAGTTCCCTCATCTTCTTTCAAACAATTTTGAATTCTTTTTCATGCCATTCATAGATCTCCATGTCTTTGGGGTTGGTTATTGGAATATTACTATGTTTCTTTGGTGATATCATGTTTTCTTGATTTTTCTTCTGGTTCCTTGAAGTACTGTGTTGCTGTCTTTGCATTTGGAGAATGCAGTCTTTACTGACTGGCTCCCAGAGAGAAATGTCCTTAACAAACAACCCAGTTAAAGATTCTGAGGCTCTCCCAGACCTTGTCTATGAATAAGAGGTGTGGAGTCACACCTCTCCTGGGGAGGAATTCTTAAGAATGTATGCCCTCTCTAGAGTCCACAAAGACGGACCAGGTGCTGAGAGACTCTTGTTTTTTTCCTAGGGTGGCTCCCTAAAATGTTCAAGTTGTATGACTTCTCCCAATCCTGCAAAGTTGTGTTGGCTGTCTGCATAAAATGCTTACACTTTCTGTCCAAGGGAGCACGCTTGGGCGGCTGGTCTAGAGGAGTTGGGGGAGGATGGGCCATGTAGAGTTTTTGAGGCTAGTTGTGAGGTGGCCCATAGGCAAAACATCTCAAATGGCTCATGAATGGGCTTCCTAACAAAGTCCATGGAGTGGTTACTTGGGCCTATGGCCTCAATTCTCTGCTCCCAGCCTCTTCCAACCACTCAGCCATGCTGATCCCCTCAGTATTCTGGATGAGGCAAGAAAACAATAGGACTCTTGGGCATTGTCACACATAGCTAGGGGAGCTTGGTGCTCACTTTCTATATTCTCACTTTCCCCTGTGGAAAAATCACAGGCTGGGGAGGGGGCAGGTAGTCTCTCTTTTCACTGAGCTGTGCTGTCTCACGGGAGCTGTGATACAGGTAAAGTGAAACTCTTCTTCAAACTCCAATTTGGGCCAGGTGCGGTGGCTCCAGCCTGTAATCCCAGCACTTTGAGAGGCCGAGGAGGGTGGATCACGAGGTCAAGAAATCTAGACCATCCTGGTCAATATGGTGAAACCCGTCTCTACAAAAAATACAAAAAATTAGCTGGGCATGGTGGCCCGTCCCTGTAATCCCAGCTACTCAGGAGGCTGAGGCAGGAGAATTGCCTGAACCCAGGAGGCGCAGGTTGTGGTGAGCCGAGATCGCGCCATTGCACTCCAGCCTGGGTAATAAGAGCGAAACTCTGTCTCAAAAAAACACACACACACACACAAAAACAAAAAACAAACAATTGTCTGTTTGGGGATTTTTTTTTTTCTCTAATGGTATGCTGGAACTTTTCTGCTGGAGTCCCAAAAGGTACACTTGTCTATAAGTAGCTGTCAAAATTGATGCTTCCGCATGGAGATGACAGTAGAAAGGTCCTCTTCCACCATCTTGCTTATGTCATTCTAGTGGTACCTTTTCTGAAAGCTCATTGTATCAGAAGAAGCTGAACACATCTTCAGCAGTAAACAAGAAATTTATTCCCATTTTCATTTCCGTATATTCCTTAGTGGGCTAAGGAATATAACTGTAGTAGTTATATGTCCTGCCTATCAAATATTATCTTACATAATTAATGTTACAATTAAATAAATAGAAGAAACAGCTTCTCTTTTTAAAGCCTACTGCATAAAATGCTATATTAAATTCCAAAGGATTACAATACAAAAATGAGAGAACTGTACTGAGTAATAACGAAAAGATTTCCAGTAAGATTCATGGGCATTTAGAGTAATTTTTAATTTATGAGAATCATATAAAAATAAGTATAAGTAGTTTTATTATCAGTAAACATTTTTTTCTGCTTTCTCTCCTTTATTGGAAATTATTTTATTTATTATTTGTTATTTCTATGCTCACTACAGCAAAATTTATTACTAGCCTAATGCTAAAAATCACATTATAAGTTAAATAGAAGCTCTATAGCCTGTAAACATTGAAAATGGAAGAAAACATAGACCGAGGCCAGAGGTTGTAAGTTGGCAATTTAGGGACCAGTTTTTATCTACATACATATTTTAGCCTCCCACTGTGTTTAAAAAAAAAGACACACACAACAACTTTGAATCAGTTGTTACATTTAAAAACAAGAAAAGTTTAGATGGAAAAAAAACTTTTCATCTCTTTAAAAAACAGACTGATAATATTGGACTATCTTCTTGCATCACAGCATTCAACTATAGCAGTGATCTCCTTTACTGGAGTGTGCTTTCTGTAATTTATCATTGACTCTACCACCCAGTTGATTTTCTTTTTTTTTTTTTTCTTGCTGTCAGCCTGCAGAAACAGGATTTCTGCGAACTTCACTGAGATGTAGGCATGTCATTTCATCTTTCTACTTTATATCCTTTATTAGAAGTAGTCTTTAAGCCGGGCGTGCTGGTTCATGCCTGTAATCCCAGCACTTTGGGAGGTGGAGGCGGGTAGATCACCTAAGGTCAAGAGATTGAGACCAGCCTGGCCAACATGGTGAAACCCCATCTCTACTAAAATTACAAAAAATTAGCTGAGCATAGTGGCAGGCACCTGTGATCCTAGCTACTCCCTCCAGAGGCTGAGGCAGGAGAATCGCTTGAACCCGTGAGGTGGAGGTTGCAGTGAGCCAAGGACACACCACTGTCCTCCAGCCTGGGCAACAAGAACAAAATTCTGTCTCCAAAAAAAAAAAAAAAGTAGTCTTTATTTCAAAGAGAGATTTTAGCAGCATACTTAAGGTCAAAGTGATGAAATAGAGGTACAAAAGAAAATATTATAAATCATTATTTTAGTCAATAATTATATACTTATAAATAGTAGCTTTATTATATGCTGTTTTTAATACAGTAAGTCCATATTTATTGCTGTTTTTCCAATATACTATAGTTACGAATGGATACTTTTTTTTAAAATTGCTGTTACTTAAGGCTATTTTTTACTTTAGCCCTAAAAACAAAAATTTCAGTGACAAAATGAAAATGCTCGTTATAATGTGTTTATTCACAAACAAAATTAGATAGTGTTTTAATCATTCAAACATAATACCTATATTTTCTATTTATCTTTGATTAATTTCATAGGAATTATTCAAATTTAAAGCTATAATTAATTTTAGTTTTGATTTGCTAATCTCATAAAAATTTATATCCACACTAAAGCCAAGTTCACAGACTATGATATGTTTAAGGCAGGTATAAATTTAGTTTTATTTCATAACTACTATATCCTTGCTTGATGTAGCAGAGTTTTTGTTTCAGCTTCACTACCAGATGTAGCAGAAACTTCTATTTGTTATACAAGGTTATTTCTTCAAGCATCCTTAAACTTTATTTTCTTCAATTTTTAAAAAAATTGTTTTCTTTTTAAATTTAATTATCTTCACTATGATCCCTTTTTACCTAAATTATAAATACATAATGGAATATATAAATATAAAATACATTATAAATATATAATGGAAATACCTGAAACTTTTAAACCTGAAAATTGCTGAGCAAGTCACGCTTTAAGTTGCACAACCAACTAAAATAAACGTGAAATTTTAGACAAAGAGGAAAGAAACCTATACAATCAGGCATATAAGCAGGGAATGATGTCTACATGAATTACATTTGCTATGGATGATACTGAATCACTGTTCATTAGTACAACCACTCCACTTACTTCTCTTCTACTGTATTTGTCCAGGTGGAGTAAAACCTTGTGCATTAAACTGCTTGGCTGAAGGTTATAATTTCTACACTGAACGTGCTCCTGCGGTAATCGATGGGACCCAGTGCAATGTGGATTCACTGGATATCTGCATCAATGGAGAATGCAAGGTTGCTCAGATTTTACTCCATTCTGTTGTGGTTTCTGAGACTTTTGTCTTTTTCTCATTAACTGCTATTTAATATTATGTTTAATTTTTTTTAAAAGAGGGCCACATTTGAGAGAAATTCAGTTTCAAACATTAAGAATAGCAACATATGTAAAGGTAAAATGACCCATTCATATTCAAGCACTATACAAATGTGGCTTATTCCAGTATTCTAATTATTTTTACAATGATTGCCAGAAGTATGAAAATACTTTGGATTTTAATTTCCCTTACCATTCTGTTCTGTTTACAGACAAGATGGTAGAAAAAGAGAGAGAATGACAATTCAGCTCTTATTCATATGTCTACCATATGTTCTTTTTGGAAGATTATTTGATAAATTTTATAGCATAAGTTTTCCTCAAAGTGTGAAATAGCTATGCTCCTCCTACTTTATCTCCTTTTGAAACATTTACAATGGTTTTCATTGTGGAGTTAGTCTTTATCTTATTAAAGCATTTGCTTTAGGGAATTAGTCAGACTATTTGGGAATTGTAGGAGCAAATCCATGCTATTTTCCTAGGCCTGTGTATGATTGTATCATAATAAGAAAAGCCACAAAAACCACTATTTTCATAAATTTTTTTACTTGTCTGGTTTTGTTTTACTTTAAAGAGAGGCATAAATTAAGTGTTTCAAACTGAAAAAGACAAGATAAAAAGCACCATTTTACTTAGTCTCTTAATTTCTTGGAAACGTTTCTATCCTTCTGGCTACTTGTCTCCAAATATATCTGATGATGATTCGGTTTGTGTATGTATATTTGTGTGTGTTTATGTATCTGTGGGCAAAGGGTACTTTATTTTCTTGAAGAAAAAGTTATTTTTGTGACAGTATTCAAGTTTTTCAAATAACAAAGACCCAAGTATGGTTTGTATTCACAGATTACCTTATTTTTACTTTTTTTACTGGAAAAACAAGTAAATACATAAGTTATATGCATTTGATTAGTATGGTTCCAAGAATTTCTCTGACACACTGAATATTCCTCTCTGTTTTCAGCATGTAGGTTGTGATAATATTTTGGGATCTGATGCTAGGGAAGATAGATGTCGAGTCTGTGGAGGGGATGGAAGCACATGTGATGCCATTGAAGGGTTCTTCAATGATTCGCTACCCAGGGGAGGTGAGTATCTAGAGAGAATTCTTCCTCACACATCTGGTGTACTTGGAGGAGCCAAAACACTTGGTTTCCCCTTCCCCCATTTTTCAGATTTTTTTTTAATGTAGGTAATAGTTTCTTCCCCAAATTGCTTTCAGTTGTTTTAGTGTTAAATGTGGCTTCATGTAAGATATTTTAAGGAAATGTTCTCCCTCTCTACTTAACTTCATTTGGCCATGTTTCTTTAAGGTGTACATTCTCACAGGGCATTGATATGAAGGGTATGTGGTGAGGAAAAAAATGAACCATTATACATGTTGAGCCTTTTAAAATATCTTCAGATAATTTTAAAGAAAAAGACTGTTAAATGCTCTTTCTCTAAAATGTATTCATGAACCCAAAGGGTAATTTGTCCATATTTCATAATTTAGAAAATGCAAAGTCAAAGAAAGAATGGAATAACAAGGAAATGATTAGTATTAAAAACTTACTAAATACTCATTTCCTGACCAAGGCTGCTTAATACTGGGTATCTTCTATGTTCCAGGCTACATGGAAGTGGTGCAGATACCAAGAGGCTCTGTTCACATTGAAGTCAGAGAAGTTGCCATGTCAAAGAACTATATTGGTATGTTAGATTGGTATGTTAGTTTGCTAGATTTTAAAAGCTAATGAGGAAAAGTAGCATAGTATCATGAAGGAAAAGACATCTACTTTGAGACAGATCACTTGGAGCTAAAATAAAGGAAGCTCCAAGTTTTATAGGACCACATGGACAATGCTAAACAGAAAAATTTAAATTTATAACTTACTCTTCACTGGGTTATTTTATTTTTAAAAAAATACTTTTTGTTGTTGTTGTTGTTATTTTTGAGATGGAAGCTTGCTCTGTCACCCAAGCTAGAGTGCAATGACATGATCTCGGCTCACTGCAACCTCTGCCTCCTGGGTTCAGGCCATTCTCCTGCCTCAGCCTCCCAAGTAACTGGGATTACAGTTGCCTGCCACCACACCAGACTAATTTTTGTATTTTTAGTAGAGACAGCATTTCACCATGTTGGCCAGGCTGATGTTGAACTTCTGACCTCATGTGATCCATCCACCTCAGCCTCCCAAAGTCCTGGGATTACAGGCATGAGCCATCACACCTAGCCAAAAAAAATCAATTTTATTTAGGTATAATTTACATATAATAAAACACATCCATTATAAATGCACAGTTCAGAGTATTGATAATTATATATATACACACACACACACACACACACACACATATAAATACCACAACCAAGATATAAAACATTTTTATGATTCCAAAACTCTCCCTCATGCCCTTTTGCAGTCAAATTCCCTCAACCTCAGCTTTATTCGAAGGCAAACACTCATCGGTTTTTGATATTATGTATATTACTTTTACTTATTTGGAACCTCACACAAATGAGCCCATTGAGTATCTATACTTTCATGTGGCTTTTTTCACTCTGCATGTGTTTGGGATTCATCTGTTTTGTTCAGTGTTTCTGAAGATCCTTCCTTTTTAATGCCAAATAGTATTTTATTGTGTGGTTATACCATAATTTGTTTATCCATTAATTTGTTGATAGATATTTGGTTCATTTCTAGTCTTTAACTATTAAACAAGTTTTTGTGAACGTTCATATTTTCATTTCTCTTGCATAAATACTTAGAATGAAAAGAATGAGTCATATGATAAGTACATGTTTAGCTTTACAAAAAATTACAATACAGCCATAATGGAAGACAGTATGAAGGCTCCTCCAAATATTAAAAGTAGAACTACCATGTGATCCACTTCTGGGTATATAGCCAAAGGAAATAAAATCACTATCTCAAAGAGATATTTACACTTACATGATCGTTGCAGCATTATTCACAATAGCTAAGCTATGGAAACAACATACATATCTGTCAACAGATGAATAGGTAAAGAAATTGTGTTATCTGCATGCAATAGAATATTATTCAACCTTAAAAAAAAAACAAGGAAACTATTCATTTGCAACAATATGGATGAACCTGGAGGACATCATGCTAAGCTAAATAAGCCAGACACAGGTAAATACTGCATGATCTCACTTATATGTGGATTCTAAAAAAGTCAAACAGAAAGTATAAGGGTATTTACTAGGGGTCAGGGAGGAAGTGGAATGGGAAGATGTTGGTCAAAGAGTACAAACTTTCAGTTATAAGAGGAATAAGTTCTGGATATCTAGTTTACTTTTGTTAATAATGATATATTGTATACTTGAATTTGTTAAAAGAATAGATCTTATTGTCACCACATTAAAAAAAGGCAACTATAGGAAGTCATGGATATGTAAATTAGCTTTTTTGTGGCATTCATTTCACAATGTTTATGTATATCAAATCATCACATTGTACATCTTACACTTATAATAAAATATTATATTTTATTTGTGAGTTATATCCCAACAAAGCTGGAAAAACAGAAAGTATGAAAATGTTTCCCTACAAGGCTACAGTAATCAAAACAGCATGGTACTGGTACCAAAACAGAGATATAGACCAATGGAACAAAACAGAGACACCGAGGGCAACACAACATATCTACAACTATACAATCTTTGATAAACCTGACAAAAACAAGCAAGGGGGAAAGGATTCCATGTTTAACAAATGGTGTTGGGAAAACTGGCTAGCCATGTGCAGAAAGCAGAAACTGGACCCCTTCCTGACACCTTACACTAAAATTAACTCCAGATGGATTAAAGACTTAAACATAAGACCTGGCACCATAAAAACCCTAGAAGGAAATCTAGGCAAAACTATCCAGGACATAGAAGTAGGCAAGGACTTCATGAACAAAACACCAAAAGCATTGGCAACAAAAGCCAAAATAGACAAATGGGACCTAATGAAACTCCACAGCTTCTGCATGGCAAAAGAAATAGTCACTAGAGTGGATCGGCAACCAACAGAATGGGAAAAAAGTTTTGCAGTTTACCCATCTGACAAAGGGCTGATATCCAGAATTTACAAAGAACTCAAACAGATTTACAGGAAAAAAACAAACAAGCCCATTCAAAATTGGGCAAAGGATATGAACAGACACTTTACGAAAGAAGACCTATATGAGGCTAACAATCATATGAAAAAATGCTCATCGTCACTGGTCATCAGAGAGATGCAAATCAAAACCACATTGAGATAACATCTCACGCCAGTTAGAATGGCGATCATTAAAAAATCTGGAGACAACAGATGCTGGAGAGGATGTGGAGAAATAGGAACACTTTTACACTGTTGGTGGGAGTGTAAATTAGTTCAACCATTTTGGAAGACAGTGTGGCAATTCCTCAAGGCCTTAGAAATAGAAATTCCATTAGACCCAGCAATCCCATTACTGGGTATATATCCAAAGGATTATAAATCATTCTACTATAAGGACATATGCACATGAATGTTCATTGCAGCACTGTTTACAATAGCAAAGACCTGGAATCAACCCAAATGCCCATTGATAATAGACTGGATTGGAAAAATGTGGCACATATACACCATGGAATATTATGCAGCAATCAGAAATGATGAGTTCGTGTCGTTTGTAGGGACATGGATGAATCTGGAGAACGTCATCCTCAGCAAACTGACACAAGAACAGAAAATGAAACACCGCGTATTCTCACTCATAGGCGGGTGATGAAAAATGAGAACACATGGACACAGAAAGGGGAGTACTAAACACTGGGGTCTGTTGGGGGGAAAAGGGGAGGGCCTGTGGGAGGGGGAGGTGGGGAGGGATAGCCTGGGGAGAAATGCCAAATGTGGGTGAAGGGGAGAAGGAAAGCAAAGCACACTGCCATGTGTGTACCTACGCAACTGTCTTGCATGCTCTGCTCATGTACCCCAAAACCTAAAATCCAATAAAAAATTTTTAAAAAAAGAGGGAAAGAAGAGAAAAAAAAAAAAAGAAAATGTTTCCCAAAATGGATGTATTATTTTATATTTCTATCAGTAATGTAGAAGAGTTCCAGATGCTCTATCTTCTTGTCAGTACACTTGGTATTGTCAGTCATTTTAATTTTACCCATATGAATTTTGTTTTTAGTGAAGTATCTACACAGATATTTTATCCATTTTAAATTCTTTTTCTTTTTTGAGTTATTAGTTGTTTATATATCCTGGATGCAAGTCTTTGTCAGATATATTTTATGGATATTTTGTCCAATTTCTGGGTTGCTTATTCATTTTTTGAAGTGTCTTTTAATTTTGATGTAATCCAATGTGTTAATTTTTAATGGTTTGTGCTTTCATGTCTTGTCTTAGAAATTTTGCCTGCTCCAAGATTGCCAAGACAGTTTTCAGTATTTAACAAGTTATTATATATATTTATTTATTTATTTATTATTATTTTTTTTAATTGCACTTTAGGTTCTAGGGTACATGTGAAGAACATGCAGGATTGTTGCATAGCTACATACATGGCAATGTGATTTGCTGCCGCCTCCATCCTCGTCACCTATATCTGGCATTTCTCCCCATGTTATCCCTCCCCAACTCCCTTCCCACTACTGTCTCTCCCCTAATCCCTCCCAACAGACCCCAGTGTGTGATGCTCCCCTCCCTGTGTCTGTCTGGTCTTATTGTTCAACACCCGCCTATGAATGAGAACATGCAGTGTTTGATTTTCTGTTCTTGTGTCAGTTTGCTGAGAATCATGGTTTCCAGGTTCACCCAGGTCCCTACAAAGGACACGAACTCATCATTTTTTATGGTTGCATAGTATTCCATGGTGTGTATGTGCCACATTTTCCTTGTCCAGTCTATCATCCATGGGCATTTGGGTTGGTTCCAAGTCTTTGCTATTGTAAACAGTGCTGCAATGAACATACATGTGCATGTATCATTATAAAAGAACGATTTATAATCCTTTGGATATATACCCAGTAATGGGATTGCTAGGTCAAATGGAATTGCTATTTCTAGGTCCTTGAGGAAGTGCCACACTGTCTTCCACAATGGTTGAACTAATTTACACTCCCACCAACAGTGTAAAAGTGTTCCTATTTCTCCACATCCTCTCCAGCATCTGTTGTCTCCAGATTTTTTAATGCTGGTGTGAGGTGGTATCTCAATGTGGTTTTGATTTGTATTTCTTTAATGACCAGTAGTGAGCATTTTTTCATATGTTTGTTGGCCTCATATAGGTCTTCTTTTGAAAGGTGTCTATTCATATCCTTCTCCCACTTTTGAATGGGTTTGTTTTTTTCTTGTAAATCTGTTTTAGTTCTTTGTAGATTCTGGATATTAGCCCTTTGTCAGATGGGTAGATTGCAAAACTTTTTCCCATTTGTATTTCTGTATTTCCACAGAATGTCCCATACAAATGGGAAAAAGTTTTTCTGTGGAAATACAGAAATACAAATGGTTTGTATTTCTCTGGAATCAGTGGTGATATCCCCTTTATAGTTTTTTATTGCATCTATTTGATTATTCTCTCTTTTTTTATTAATCTGGCTAGTGGTCTATTTTGTTGATCATTTCAAAAAACCAGCTCCTGGATTTGTTGATTTTTTTTAAGGTTTTTCTATCTCTATCTCCTTCTGTTCTGCTCTGACCTTAGTTATTTCTTGTCTTCTGCTAGCTTTTGGTCTTCTGGTAGCTTTTGAGGTTTTTATAGCTTGCTCCTCTAGCTCTTTCAATTTTGACTATAGTGTGTCAATTTTAGATATTTCCTTGCTTCTCATGTGGGCATTTATTGCTATATATTTTCCTGTAGACGCTGCTTTAAGTGTGTCCCAGAGATTCTGCTATGTTGTGTCTTTGTTCTCATTGGTTTTGAAGAACATCTTTATATCTGCCTTCATTTCATTGTTTATCCAGTCAACATTCAAGAGCCAGTTGTTCAGTTTCCATGAAGCTGTGCAGTTCTGAGTTAGTTTCTGAATTTTGAGTTGTAACTTGATTGCACTGTGGTCTGAGAGACTGTTTGCTATGATTTCCATTCTTTTGCATTTGCTGAGGAGTGCTTTACTTCCGATTATGTGGTCAATTTTAGAGTAGGTGTGATGCGGTACTGAGAAGAATGTATATTCTGTGGATTTGGGGTGGAGAGTTCTGTAAATGTCTATTAGGTTTGCTTGGTCCAGGTCTGAGTTCAAGTCCTGGATATCCTTGTTGATTTTCTGTCTTGTTGATCTGTCTAATATTGACAGTGGAGTGTTAAAGTCGACCACTATTATTGTGTGGGAGTCTAAGTCTCTTTGTAAGTCATTAAGAATTTGCTTTATGTATCTGAGTGCTCTTGTATTGGGTGTGTATATATTTAGGTTCGTTAGCTCTTCTTGTTGCATTGATCCTTTTACCATTATGTAATGCCCTTCTTTGTCTCTTTTGATCTTTGTTGGTTTTAAATCCATTTTATCATAGACTAGGATTGCAACTCCTGCTTTTTTTATTCTTCATTTGCTTGGTAAATCTTCCTCCATCCATTCATTTTGAGCCTATGTGTATCCTTGCATGTGAGATGGGTTTCCTGGATATAGCACACCAATGGGTTTTGACATTTTATCCAATTTGTCAGCCTGTGTCTTTTTATTGGGGCATTTAGTCCATTTACATTTAAGGTTAATATTCTTATGTGTGAATTTGATCCTGCCATTTTGATGCTAGCTGGTTGTTTTGCCCATTAGTTGATGCAGTTTCTTCATTGTGTTGACAGTCTTTACCATTTGGTATGTTTTTGGAGTGGCTTGTCCTAGTTGTTCCTTTCTATGTTTAGTGCTGCTTTCAGGAGCTCTTGTAAGGCAGGCCTGGTGGTGATGAAATCTCTGAGCAATTGCCTGTACCTAAAGGATTTTATTTCTCCTTCGCCTATGAAACCTAGTTTGGCTCGATATGAAATTCTAGGTTGAAAGTTCTTTTCTTTAAGGATGCTGAATATTGGCCTTCACACTCTTCTGGCTTGTAGGGTTTCTTCTGAGAGATCCACTGTGATTCTGATGGGCTTCCCTTTGTGGGTAACCTGACCTTTCTTTCTGGCTGCTCTTAGTATTTTTTTCTTTATTTCAACCCTGGTGAATCTGACAATTATGTGCCTTGGTGTTGCTCTTCTTGAGGAATATCTGTGGTGTTCTCTGTATTTCCTAGACTTGAATATTGGCCTGCCTTGCTAGGTTAGGGAAGTTCTCCTGGATAATATCCTGAAGAGTATTTTCCAGCTTGGATTCATTCTCTCTGTCACATTCAGGTACACCTATCAAACATAGATAGGTCTTTTCACATAATCTCATATTTCATGGAGACTTTGTTCATTTCTTTGGACTCTTTTTTTCTCTAATCTTGCCTTCTCATTTTATTTCATTGAGTTGATCTTCAATCTCTGATATCCTTTCTTCTGCTTGGTTGATTCGGCTGTTGAAACTTGTGTATGCTTCATGAAGTTCTCTTCTTGGGTTTTTCAGCTCATCAGTTCATTTATATTCTTCTCTGAGCTGTTTATTCTCGTTAGCATTTCATCAAACCTTTTTTCAAGGTTCTTAGTTTCTTTGCCTTGGGTTAGAGCATGTTCTTTTAGCTCAGAGAAGTTTGTTATTACCCACTTTCTGAAGCCTGTTTCTGTCAATTCATCAGACTCATTCTCCATCCAGCCTTGTTCCCTTGCTGGTGAGGAGTAGTGATCCTTTGGAGGAAGAGAGGCATTCTTATTTTGGGTGTTTTCATCCTTTTTGAGCTAGTTTCTTCCCATCTTTGTGGATCTATCTATCTGTGGTCTTTGTAGTTGGTGACTTTCCGATGGGATCTCTGAGTGGACATCCTTTTTGTTGATTATGAAGTTGTTTCTTTCTGTTGTTTTAGTTTTCCTTCTAACAATCAGTCCCCTCTGCTGCAGGACTGCTGGAGGTCCACTCCAGACCCTGCTTGCCTGAGGATCACCTGCAATGGCTGCAGAACCTTAAGGGGTGCTGCCAGTTTCTTCTTCTGTTATCTTTGTCCCAGAAGGATGCCTGCCAGATGTCAGCCTGAGCTCTCCTCTATGAGGTGTCTCTTTGGATATATGGGGTCAGGGAGCTGCTTGAGGAGCCAGTCATTAAAATGCAATGATATTTAGACATAATAAAAAATAAAGATCAAACTACATGTGTTCTATAAGAAACAAACTTTAAAGACAGAAGTACCTACATGTGAAAAGTGAATATAGAAAAAGATTTACCATGCAAACACTGAAGACAGCTGGGATAGCTAGATTAGTATCAGATAAAACAGACTGTGGGTCAAAGAATATTTTTAAGAGATGGGGATCTCACTATGTGCCCAGGCTGATCTCAAAGTGACATGTTTACTTCTTTCCTGTTTGTTTATAGTTTTCTATAGTAGTACTAAAAATACCTTTTCAGCCACATATACTTTTAAACTCTGTGTTTGTGTTTGTGTGTGTGTATTTCTATAAGAGATTTTTTTTAAGTATGCATGTTTATTAACATCTTTTTTTCTGGGTTTTTTGTCATGCTTAGAAAAACTTTTCATACTCCAATATTATGAGAAAAAATATTCCATATCTCCTCCTGACATTTTAAGATTTAACTCTTTTTATATTTAAATATTTACCCATCTGGCATTTATTCTTTCTCTCTTTTTTTAACTTTGTTTTTATTGGGGTGAAATTAACATTACATAAAATTAACTATTTGAAGTGAACAATTAAGTGGCATTAAGTACATTCCAAAAAATTTACATTGGTCCAGAAAAAAAACCTCATATCCATTAAGCAGTTATTCCCCATTCTCCATCCCCAATCCCCTGACAACCACCAATCTGCTTTCTGTCTCTATGACCTTTTAACTGTTCTGGATATTTTATGTAAATGAAAGCATACAATATGTGATATTTTCTGTCTAGTTTCTTCCACTTAATGTTTTTGAGGTTTATCACAGTACAGCTTGTATCAAGACTTCATTATATCACAATTTATTTATTCATTCATCCATTGATGAAAATTTGTGTTTTTTTATTTGGGGCTGTTAGAAATAGTGCTACTATGAATATGTGTGTCCAAGTATTTGTTTGGTACCTGTTTTCAATTCTTTTGGATATGTGCCTAGGAGTTGAATTGTGGCATTTATTCTTATATAAAGAATGAAATATAAATTCAGCATTTTTTTTGCCGAAAGGATAGTCTTCTGTCTTAGCCCCATTTCTTATTATCTCTCCTTTACTAATTTACAACATTTCCTTTATCATACATAAAATTCCCATATGTACTTGGGCCTATTTCTTAAATCTCTGTTTGATTCGTGTTCTGTCCATCAGCCTGTGTCCAAGTACAACAGGTTGTCTCCACCCCATATCCATTTAATTACTATTTCAGTATTTGGAAAGGAAAGTCTGCTCTCCACCCTCATGTTAACTCTCATCCCTAGTTATTTCTTTTGTCACAATTTTCCTTCCTAGTTCCACATATTTATTCCTTCAGGTTAACCTTTTGTTGCTTTCTATGAATGACATTATAAATATTTAAGTAATATCTTCTTAACCATTCATGTGAAAATTCACCTTTTTAATTTGTACTTAAGAATATGGTCAAGATTCATATATCCAAATGGAAATTGATATTCATTGTATACTGTATTGCAGTAATTAATCAGTGACACTTTGGTAAATGAAGTTTCACATTTTTAGGTGAATTGTGATTTGTTTTCTAGCTTTAAAATCTGAAGGAGATGATTACTACATTAATGGTGCCTGGACTATTGATTGGCCTAGGAAATTTGATGTTGCTGGGACAGCATTTCACTACAAGAGGCCAACTGATGAACCAGAATCCTTGGAAGCTCTAGGTCCTACCTCGGAAAATCTCATAATCATGGTAAATGCGTCTTTGCCATTGTATTTCTTCTGTTTGTAATTCCCCCTTGTGACATAGGAAGGAACAGGTTTTATTATCTCTGCTTTACAGGTGGTGAAATTAAGGTAAATAAAGGTAAAATGATTTACCAAAGGGTGTTAGAACTGTGCAGAGTTAAGGCTATAGTGCTCTTGCTTGAATGATATTTTTATAAACAAACAAGACAGATGAAAGCAATGACTCCAAAATACCCATGAAAATGGGAGGAGAAAATTTGATATAAATGCCTGTGTTTTATCTTATCTTAAATTTCCCATAAGACTTGTTTTGACATTTTCTTCTTCAAAAGGAATAACAAATATCTGAATGAAGGCTTATCGTATTTTAATTGTCTTCACCAGTTGTTTTCAATGGCAGGTTCTGCTTCAAGAACAGAATTTGGGAATTAGGTATAAGTTCAACGTTCCCATCACTCGGACTGGCAGTGGAGATAATGAAGTTGGCTTTACATGGAATCATCAGCCTTGGTCAGAATGCTCAGCTACTTGTGCTGGAGGTAAGATGCCTAATAGGCAGCCCAACCAGAGGGCAAGATGGAGAACAAAACATATTCTGAGCTATGCTTTGTGTTTGTTAAAAAAGCTAATTGGAAACATTTCTTGCAGGTTTGCTTCAAGCTGTAATTTAGCAAAAGAAACTTTGCTTTAATTATATTATATTCCATTTGTTTTCAACCTCATGTAATGTGTGCAGATTTGTTGGTAAAATACATCTTGGCACAATGAGTGTCTCTGCTGATGCTTCTCCCAAGACTATCTTGAAGGTGGGCTGTTTGCCTTTCGTGAACACATTCTTGGTAAAGAACATCAAAAGTTTTAAAAAAGAAAATAAGAGTCAGACATCACAGATGCAACTTCTTGTAATGGGGGATGAAAATGTACGACTGTGTGCTTGTTGTGTGTATTTGTGTGCCTGTGTGTTTGCCACAATCCTATTCAAATCCCTTCTCCTACCATCAAAGTTAAAGGGCTATATACTGGGATGCTACAATAATTACTGGTATCTGGGTTCTGGGTTAATGGTGTATACTGATCCCATTACAGTCCCTCAGAGGTAGCTGCTAGGCGGTGGTTGGTGATGTGTTGGTTGTCCCATGTGCGTTTTTCATGGGTGCCTTTTCCCTACAATTTACTCTATTCCTAATCCTCCTCCCTCTAGTGGCCACCAATGCAATTCTTTACCTCTGGCTGGGAGAGCAGGACAGTTGGCTTCCTTCAAAGCCAACACCCTTGCTGCTGCATGGACTGGTGAGTAGAAGTGCTGTGCAAGCAGCATCTTCCTTCTCTCTGGAGACTAAATGCATCGCCTCCACCGTACACCTTGATCCTAATAGGCAAGGAAACAAACCTGTCTCTCAGGCCTAGGCTGGACTAGATCACCTCACCATTCCAGAAGCAAAGATTAAATTTTAAATAGTGATATTTAGAATGAGCAAAATCAAAATAAAGTAAATCATCTAATATATTACCTTTACTCCTTTTCTAAACTATGCAGAAATATATGATTTTACATAGACTTCATTCTCTCTTGTATTTGCATTTCTAAACAACTCTGATTTTCAAGTCTCAAATAAGTTATTTTTAGAGAAATAATTATCATATAATCTATTCAGTATTTTTATTTTATTTTATTACTTGTTATTATTTTTTCAAGATGGATTCTTGCTCTGCTGCCCAAGCTGGAGTGCAGTGGCTTGATCACTGCAGCCTCAACCTCCTGGGCTCAAGTAATCCTCCCAAATCAGCCTTTTGAGTAGCTAGGACCACAGGAGCATGCCACCACACCTGGCTAATTTCTTAAATTTTTATAGAGACAGATGTCACTGTGTTACCTGGGCTTATCTTGAACTCCTGGCCTCAAACATTCCTCCTGCCTCAGTTTCCCAAACTGCTGGGATTACAGGTGTGAGCCACTGCTTCTAGCCTAATTCAGTATTTTTAGTCTCATACAGAATTAAAGCAATGATTAACTACAACTGTAATTTCAATATCAAGTCTATACAACATGAAAAAAAAGAAGATGAACAATAAGATATTAATGTTCTCTACTATGTAAAGTATCATGAAACATGATTATGTGTAATTTCTGACATATTTTAAAAGATCTATAGTTCCCATCCATTTTATCTGTAAAATGGCTGGTGATTTATAATGTAAAATTTTTAAAACCATAGGACATTATCATTTTTAAATAAATAAATATTTGCAACTAATTGATCAAGTACATGCCATTTCATTATTTTTAGTGGCACTTGTATATATATACATGTATATATATAGATATACATGTATATCTATATATACACACACATATATACGTATATATATATATATATACTATATATATATATACTATACATATATATATATATCTTTCTTTTTTCCAATTAAATTCTTTTTAATCTATAACGTTTCCCTTTGAATATTCCAACAAAAAATCTTCTAGAACAGTACATATGTAATTTAGGCCCTGAGGCAAGGTGGGATAAACTTATTAAAGAAGAATTAAAATCATTTAAAGTTTAGGAAATCTAATAAGGAGAGTCTAAAGTTGAGGTGGATTAGCTTGGAGAAAAGGAAGCTAAGAGGATGTGTATTAGTATCTTTAAGTATGCAACAGAATGATGAATGGGAAATTCTTAGTGCCAGTTCTTCTTTGTACTGAAATCGCTATATTTGGGGATGGTTTAGACATAGTCTTGTCTGAGACCAAGAAGGGATTAAATGAATTCTTAATGTTCCTTCTACCCTACAATTCTATTTGTTCACAAAGGACTATCTCATTTCTGAACAAATAGAATTGTAGGGTAGAAGGAAAAAAAAGAGGAAAAAGGCCATGAGAACTGAATTTGGAAGAAAAACTATAATTTTGTTGAGGTCAGAAAGTTAAAAGTCTAGATGAGTGTTATTTTTTTCCATAACACTCGTATTGAGAAATAGAAGTGATTTTTTGTGGTAGGGGATAAAAGAAAAATAGGGAGGGAGAAAAGCCTCTAGAAGGAGAGCTTTCTCTTCCTTTTTATTTTTCCTTCTTTCTATGATTTGTAGCTCCTGGTCTTAGATATTGAAAGTGGTTCTGGAAACTCACATTCAGCTTGGCTGTGGGTGATTATGAGCATTCTTGAGGCTATTGCCTTCTTCAGATGAGAGATATAGAGGGCATGATGTGAAGAGCTGCCATTTGTCTTGGTAAGTGGTTCTTAAAGCCTGGTCCTGGACGAGCAACATAGACATCATTTAGAAACTTGTTAGAAATGCTCATCTGGGTGCCCCATTTCAGACCTACTGAACAGAAACTCTTCAAGTGGAGTCCATTAATCTCTGTTTTAACAAGCCCTCCAAGTGATTCTGATGCTCACTCAAGTTTGTGTACCACTGGTCTTGGCTGACAGAGAAACCAAACCCAGCACTCTAGACACATAGAATCTGTGTCCTCATCACTGAAGTCTGTGCATCTTTATGGACTCATTTTGCCCCTAGAACAATATCTGAAACACAGTAGGTGCTCAATAAGCATTTACAGATTAGTGAATGAGTGAAAGGAATTAATTTTGTCAATTATATCTTTGTGCTTGTCTTTTCTAATGTGGGAAGTGAAAGTTTAGAGTTGCTACTTATAGAGTGGGGCAAAACTTTTGTCAACAAAAAATAGTATAATTTTAATTAGCTTGGGTAAGTCAAGCTAGACTTCTCTCTTGTTTACTTTGTTTGTTTGTTTGTTTTCTTTTGTTTTGGGTTTTTTTTCGAGACAGAGTCTTGCTCTGTCACCCAGGCTGGAGTGCAGTGGTGTGATCTCAGCTCACTGCAACCTCTGCATACCGGGTTCAAGTGATTCTCCCACCTCAGCCTCCCTAGTAGCTGAGATTACAGGTGCCCACTACCATGCCTAATTTTTGTATTTTTTATTGTAATTTTTGTATTTGTAGTAGAGATGGAGTTTCAACATGTTGGCCAGGCTGGTCTTGAACTCCTGACCTCAAATGATCCGCCTGCATCAGCCTCCCAAAGTGCTGGGATGACAGGCGTAAGCCACTGTGCCCAGTCATCTTGCTTACTTTAAACAGGTGGAAAATATTTCCTAGGATATAGAGTGCAGGAATCAATGATTGAAGTTGCTCTTCTTATACATACCCTCACTTTTAACCCCAGGTTCTTTAAATATAGGAAGCTTATGATTGAGGGAAGTAAAGTCATTTTAGGGTTTAGGAACTTTGACCCAAGAGAAACCAGAGTCATCCTCTCCTTAATGAAACTTCATTTTATAGTTAAGAAACCTTTTAACAAAAAGTCATTTCTACCTAGCTTTCACTCAAACTGAGGATGAATACCAAATCATTTCTTTTTTTTTTTCTATTTTTTTTCTTTTGCTGTTGCTGTCAGTAAGCCTGTTGTCTTTATAAGGGAAATTTTGGGATGGTTCCACTTCATCGTTTTAAATCCCTTCTTGGGCTTCTTCTCATACACTGGATTCTCTCCTATGGTAGCATGAACTTTCTTATATATCTTCCCCATTATATCTGGAGTTACGCTGTTCTTTATGTATTGAGAGAGCTGTTTCTTGTAAGCATCTTTATCTTCCTTCATTAAGTAGCACATGTAATCTGCAACATTCTGGCCCATGATGTACTTTTGGTGTACTTCTAACTTAAATTCTTTGCTTTCAGAATCATAACCAGGGAATTGTTTGGTACTGTGAGGGATAGGCAAACCTCCATCCATAGCTCCCTTAAGGAAGCTAAAAATTTTATTGCCAGTGGTAGTTCTGGCAAGGCCTCCATACAAATAGCAGATAAAGGCACCTGGCTGAACATCAATGCTTTCCACATTATATTTGTCTCCAATCACCTACACTTGGCCTTCATGGATCTTATCGATGCCAAACCTATTGTAAAGCCTGTGGGCCAGGAACAGGCCAATACAATATGCCGCAGCATCATTTGTCAGGCTTCATTTGTCATTTGTCAGACAAAATATGTCTTCACACCGTATTTTGGCAGTTCATGTGCATATACTGTGCAGACTATCATATCCCCTTCTATATGGGCGTAAGCAGTCTGACAAATGGTATCTCTGTTTGTTACATAACTATCAACCTGTATTTGGGTATATTTTATTTATTCTTATCCTGTATCACCAGGCAGTTTTGTGCATAGTAATCAGTTTTACCCTCACGTCATCTTCTAAATTTCACTTGGTATCTCTCAAAGTAAGCCTTATTCTTAACAACTTTAATAAACCCCATCCTGTGGAAGAGACCCACATTGTCTGCTGCTTGACAGAGACCTGGAGGTCCAGCAGCGCTAGGTGGAGAAGGGTAAAGTCAGTTATTAACTGGGATACTCCATGCTCATCTCTCCAAGGAGGTGCTGGGTTCCTTGAGGCTGTCAAAGTTCTTTTAAATGGAAAAAAGAGAAAAAAAGAAAGATCTCAAAGAACTTTCAGTGGCAGATTATCCTGCATATGTTTTATTAATATCAAGACCTTTGGGCTTTAATTG